TATGAACCCCTTGGGATCTCCGGGATCCTGTAGTGGAAAATAGCACCGGCTCTAGACAGAACGTGTATACCAATAACCGCTTGGACAAAGTTACCACAAGAAATTTGGAAAAAATGGAGTATCCAGACGCCACTGCTTTGGTTGTGTACAAAGTCTATGGAGAGTCGAGTGCATTTACCAAGTATTTTCTAACAAAACTGGGAATGTTTCTCAGTCCTAGCTCCATGTCTGTTCAGCATTTTTGCAATGACTGATCTTCATGGAGACAATATGTGATGAACAAAAAAGTGGCTTCAGGATGCAACATTTTTTTCCCAGAAATTTCACGTGCCGTATGTTGCACGACTGCAATGATTTTCCCCTTCGACTTGGCAGATGCAGTTATAAACACAAACCACTTTTATTCGACAAAGAACCTTCAGAAAGTTATAAGCCCGATTTGAAAGAAAAGACAAATCCCATTGTTATCTCTCAGTAACTTCTGTTGACACATCCGATACAGCATCTCACAATTACACTGGTCCATAATGTGCATTCTAGCATAACTGATGTTAATGTCAAGACAGGTATACAGAAAAAAGAAAATAAATGGCCTCTCAAATTCTACCCGCTCCTTTCAGGTTGTTTATTTTCGATCTTTTTCACACGGTATCATAACCTTTTACGGCTCCTCGTCAAGGTTGTGCAAATGGGTTGGTGGTTTGCGCAGCACGCACAAGTGAAAAAATACTAATTAGCAGAACTAAACAAGTGAATGGTAGGATTCTGGCTTGTGGAGTGGTCGGTGTTAAAAATGAGCAATTGCTTGTCGTAATTATGTGGGTAATCCACAACACGCGAGCTTTCACTCAATAGTTTTTATTGATATTTTTTTTGTGGCTTTATTTTCTTGCACCTACCTACCACGAAATTCCCGGCAGAAACTCATTAGCCATGGGGATTAACAGGCCATAATTTTATAGTACCTTTTATTTCCAAAGAAGAGAAAAGCAATTAGTTTTTCTTAAATTAAGAGTAGGCCTACCACGTTTTATTTAATGTTTTTGAAAAGGCACACGTTTTATAAGTAATATAACACGCTGGTTTGAAAAAAAAATTAAAAGGTGGATTTACACTATTCAAATGTACCCCAAAATCGGTACAATTCGCTCTTTTCACGCTTCCGCCATGGGCATGCAGAGCCTCAATCTGGCAACTTTACACAATAAATACATAGCCGGTTCAGTGATTCCCGTGTGGGGGTTCAGATCACTGAACCGGCTATTTTTATTGTGTAAAGTTCTCAGATCGAGGCTGTGCATGCCCATGGCGGAGTGTGAAAAGAGCGAATTGAACACGTGGTCAACCAATACTTGAGCTCGTCCTAATTAAAGATAACGTGCTCTTCCCCCCCCCCCCCCCAAAAAAATTCTCTAACGACTTTTCAATTTGTATATTTTGTTTTAACGATTTTTTTTTTACTGTATTCGGATTTTGGGCGTCTTTTTTAACCCTCTGAAAAAGGAATTTCATTCTGCGAACGAATGGACCCGCCCTGCCAGAGCCGAATTATTGTCTTGCAGCCAGTAATTCGATTTTTGTGAAACTAAACGTCGGTAGTTTTTTCGTTGGATGTCTCATTCAAAAGTGTATATTTTTTTCATTTCTAGAAAAATATCAATTAAAAAACAAATTTATTTTTCAAGGTGAAGCTCGAAAACAGCATGTCTTTAAACGGGTTATCTCTAGGAACTTTAAACTGTAAAAAACACAAACAAACAAACAAACAAACAAAAACAAATAGCATTCGTAAACAAGCTGAGGACTTTTCTTTTGGAATATTGTAATATCAGCATTTATTTCATCACTCTTGTAGATTAAGAAAGAGTTATAAATAAACTGTACAATAATAAGGAACTGTTACATTTTCTACATCTCCAAATAAGAACACAATAATTCATACAACATATAACCATATAGGTACATGTTTATTCATATAACCATATAGGTACATGGTTACACTGCAATTCTATATCTACGCATATCGACTATTAAAATGACTATCGGTTGTTCCCCTAAAAACAAAAAGCAATCCGATCTTTTTTATGCGGGCCATTTTCTATTTTAGCTAAGCGTGTGGATTATTTTCACACGTGTTTCGTTTAGGCCAAAACAAAAAGTCTCCGGTTTCTGGTATGGAGCTTGCCCCAAAAGTGGTGCGGCGACGCGGCCTTTTTTTTTACCGGTTTTTTTTTTTTTTTGCTTCAAATGTCGGCTGATGACTGCAAATGGTGCCCGACTAAACTTAGTGCAAATATATGGGAGTCCAGAGAGGTCACATAACAACCTCGTCCCCAGTGCTTACTTTATTTCCAACCGCGTTTCCAATAGTAAACCCTGGATAGGAAACTTTCTTCCTGTATCCTGATTCGATACCGCAATTGGCTAGTAATGGATTTTTATCGTGTACTTGGTGCTATATATTCACAACGTGCAGTACGTGTTTTCGCGATCATTCGTCCACGCCTTCTCGAAAATACTAATTTCCTTTCCAATTTGCTCATATTAATATGAAATATGATACTGCATGTTGTCTCGATAAGATCGTAACAGTTTGATTTCAAAAATCGTGTTTTCGTAACTCACGCCATGCTCGCGCTGCTACGCATTGACTCTGTTTTTACCCCAGACACCGCATACAAAAACAAACGCTAATGTGTAACGCATATCCAGGCACCAGACTGTTCCTCATTTGCATACGTGTGCAAAAATCTTGCACATGCAAATGATCCAATACCAGGGTGAGAGAGCAGGTAGTGGTGGGCGCGTACTGCTCGACATCCTGGGGACGAGGTTGGCCACATAAAGCTTATTCTCGATCATAACCCCATCTAAAAACACGTTAAAATTGTGCAGCAGCAGGATTCCAGTCAAACCAGTGAGTTTGGCGGTTTTGAGACATCATCTTGTATTGAAAAAAAAACTTTTTCATTTTGCCGACGCGCATGGCTACGGCGACGCGCGCGCATACCAGAAACCGGAGACTTTTTATTTTTTTGGCCTTAGCCAGTAACGCTGGGAAATGAAGGCCATTTCTGCACCAACGATGCTGGCGCTATACACAATGTGTTCATGTATGTTCCGCGACTGGTAAACAATGTGTTGGGAGTGGGACAAACGAGCATAAAGGCAGTGCGTTTTGATCGAGCCATTCAATTCAAAGAACACAAAACCAGGAACTAAAAATGGGGAACTGTTTGAACTGTCTGAAGTTCATCCATGTACTTTGCGCCTATTTTTTTTTTATTTGGGGGAAAACCCTGTACCTATAACATTATTTTATCAAGTCTTTCAAACGAAGATTTAAGATTCAAATGATATAGTTGGGACTTGCAACAGTCCAAATTAGTATACAGTCCCAGATGTAAATGAGAGAGTCCGTTGGGCAGCCCAATTTATAGTTTGAACTGTTATGTCCCATCTATTGTTGGGGCGAAGCTTTGGTTTTGGAGTAACAGTAACGTTGACAAAAATGCTCTCTAATGCGGCCTCATTATTATACAGAAAAATGGTGTTCTCGAAATAGTATAACACATTCCCCCTCCCTTAAACATCAAATGGAAAAAAATTCCTGTATACGTGGACATCACTTATTTTTCCCTGCAATGACCTATTAGCCATCAGAAAGTAATAACATGTCCTAAACAGTCAAATTTAGCAGGGAAAATATTGAAGCATTTACTGAGAAAACGCATTCTTTAGACCAGTCTCATAGGGTTTGTGCACAGGGTGTCAACATGGTCAGGTGATGTCCAGATATGGAATTCTTTCCCATCAAATTAACTTGATGCAGAGACAATCATCCACACACGTGTATCACTAGTCCAGTGGCTGAAATGAACACCTTTCTTAAATCAAGAACAAAATTTCATGATCAAATTTCGATTAAAAATTAAAAACAAAACGAACTAGATATTTTACAGTATATTTAACTAGATAAATCAGGTCACGTGGTGGAATTCTTCTGGCAAACCAGTAAAACTACACAACAAAAATTCATTGTAATCATCGTCATCTTCTCTGCACACACTTTTGGTTAAAATTAAAAAAAAAATTTTGTGGAGCCTGCTCAATGTTCTCCCTGGAAAATACTCAGTTTCTTAAAAAGTAAACACATAAAGTATACATCAGACTAATTGATTGTTAAGAAAGATAATTCAGGAAAAAAAATAGCAAAGATTATTTTCCATGGAAACTACGAATGCCAAGGAGGTTGTCCGAGTGAATAATTCCCCAGGATCAGGCTCTAAACAAATGCTACTATACATTACGGTGTTCCTAGTTTCATTCTTTGCCAATTTGATGATAAGGCACTCACAACCAAACTTTGACAGGCCACGACAAAACCGGTCTTTCAAAATTGTCACAGCCTTTAGAAATAATTAAACCATTATTTTGACAATCGTTTCAAAGAGGGATGTAAAACTATTTGGAGCATCGCTAGAAACCAAAGGGTAATGCAAATATAAGAACTGTGAATATCTCTTTGACCTGCCTACACAGTTTTGTTATGTGGAACTCTGTACAGGCTAGTTTCATTTCCTCCTTCTAACGCTCCCCCCCCCCCCCCCCCCTTTAGAACAAGTGTAAATGTGTTGGCTTACCGCCTTGGTCATTTCCAAAATTTGGCTTTCCATGTGGAAAAAGACTTTTTGCTTCCTTTAAGCACAATATTATACATATGTCACAAATTTATTTTCACCACATAAAACAACTGTTCATTTTTCCTTAATTTATAGACCTTTCTTTTGTTTGTAAACATTGGCGCCATTTTATATGGGCTGCCGCAAGCGCATAAATTGAAGCCGTGGTTGGAAACATGTTTTTCCAAAAAAGTCCCCATAACGCCCTCAATACATAGTAAAAAGGCATGTTTAGGAATTATGTTGTACCGTATGTTTGTTGACAATGTTGTATTCTCAACAATCAAATAATATTTTTGTTATCTGTAATAACTCATTTTTGCAGTGTTGGACCTTCCATAGTTTTGCAACCTGTGGTTGGCAAAATGTGCAGTTGGCCAACCAAGCGTAGAAAGGTCTATATGCAAGAAAATTACTCCCCACTAATAATGCATACTTCAAACAAGGGTTCAGAGGGAATCTGGGGAGCAAGTACCAAAGATCTTGCATGAACAGCAGATATATACAGAGAATTTACCACTGTTGTCTTAACATTTGGACACAACATGGCTCCGTAATTCACCAGCGCCCATCCTTGTATGTGGACACCATTTTGCATCCACACTCAGCTCAGGGTAACTAACACTAACAGTGGGCGCTCCAAAGCATAAATCAGGAATATTTCTCTCTGAGCAACAGAATTGTATTCGTAAGTGGATACTTGACAGGTTCGGGCACAGAAGATGTGGTTTTGACTCACAAAAATGAATCTTTCCAGTATAGAAAATGACCAAATTTGATTATCACTAGCATTTTAAAATCGGATTCCATAGTAAACATGGCAACTGATACTGAAAATATTTGGCATTTTTTACCAATGTAGGCATCAGTCATATTAAGTCTCCTGCAACTACACTTTATTTGATGTACCATATCAACAGCTGATGGTGGCCATTTTGGAAAATGGCGGCCATGTTTGTCGCAGGACAAATCTGAGGTAATCTGAGTATCATCCATTGTTCACGGAGCCTGCACGCTCTGTACTTACGTCTGATGTACAGTATGTGAGTATTGGAAATGTTATGCGACCCAGCCAATCGGAGTCAATTTTAGAAATTGTGAAGTCATTTCGTGCAGAACTGCGAACTTAGCGGTCATGTTTTTGTTAATACAACGGGTCACAAAGATCAGATAGAAGGCACCCGTTGAATGGTCAGAATCTGGAGGTCACGACACAGTGTTGTTTTGCATAATTAATCACTGAATGTGCACGGATACTGTACATGTAGATGTTTCTTTGCAATTGGCTATTCCATAGACTAATCTGAGGTGGCTCTATAGGCAAAAATCATTATAGATACATTCTAAACGACATGTCAAATTTCATGCTTCTATCATAAAAGGCACAATTTATTCACATATCTGCTGTACTAACTTGCCTGTGATACTCGCTAAACTTTGTGTACATGTTCCTGCTGTGCCTAAACCCGAGTGCAAATAACCGAATCTTAGTTTAAGCACGTACAGTTTGAATTTTGAATAGGATCATTACACCAAAGTAACCATTCTTGGAATATTATCACAATAAAATCAAATTTGACCTCCACCTGACAATAGAGGGCAGTGTTGCTGTTAATTTAGCAGTAGAATGGGTTGTGCCAAAGTCACAAAACGGTTTCTCTATGCAACACAGCATTTACAAGTTTTATTTTTATATTACTTTGTAGTTTCAAGCGTGTTATACACAGAATGATATCTGTCATGATCTGAACAAGCCATTACGTTTTTTTTCTGCCACAGTTGGGAGGGGGCGGAGAGAGTTGGACAGTTGGTGTTGCAGTTTTCAAACAAGGATAATGATGAAATACTGATTTACCCGTGAATGTACAACTCCAAATTAGATTTAACCAGCCAAAGCATTAAAATAAGGCTTTAAGAAATCAGTGGTTTTTGCAACAAGGCTGTCTGAATAAAACAAAAATAACCTAAAGAAATAAAGAAAACCAAACCACGCAGGACGTTGGACTCCAGTAAGCTGCGGGTGACAGCAGAGCTCATCAGTAGCGACGTTGATGCTGGGATGGGGGACGAGGGTAAGACTGCTGGCTCTGGTGAAAGGAAGAAAAAGGAACGGCAGGACTAATAATTATGCCTGGAAAAACAGATATTATCATGAACGCAGACTCCTCAAAACTGGAGTACTAGAGCGGGTTCCAAGTGTTGAGGCCAAGTGTAACGTAATTAGTCTTAAAAGTTGAACTCGGTTAAGGCCAAAAAAAATAAAATACTCGGTCTCTGGTCAGCGCGCGCGTCGATTTTAATCATGCGCATCAACCTTTTTTTGTTTCTTCAAATTAACACGGAAGCTACAACAGCGCCCTCTATTGCCGCGCCTCCTCAAATTTTTGTACCAAGGAGCACCAAGGAATGGGGAAATTGCACCAAGGCAAATGATAAAGGGTACCAAGGCAAATTATGGAGGACACCAATGTATAATGAGGACACAAAAAAGCAAAATAGTACCCACCTTGTCTGTACAATACAAGCTTGAAAAAAAAAAAACCACCAAAAAAAACAACCAAAAAAACACGTTGCCGCATCAATTCCGGAACTTCGGTCTGACCAGAGACCGACTATTTTTTTTTTGGCCTAATATGAAGTCATGTGGATCATGTCTACAGTTCAAAAAATTCAATTTTTTTCTATTAATAAATGTTCAACTGGTATGTATTATTCCAACCAAAAAGCCGTCGTTTTTTCTTTTTTGGACATCTGCAACTCTCTGTGGAAAAGAAGGTTTAGTTTTGGGCACAAACAGATCCGCTGTGCAAGCAGACTGGCTCCCGGTCAGTACATTATCGATACTGAATGTGAGGCGGGAACCAGCCTACCCCGCAAGAACGGAATTACTCACCGGCAGCCAATAATTCGAAATTGTAAAGCACTAATTCAATAACTAAATATAGGCCAATTTTGTTTTGGTCCATGCCTCATTCAACAGTGAATAACTTCTGTTTTGCTTGAAAAATAGCAATTAGAAAAGGAATGTATTTTTTTGGATGAAACTCGAAAACACGGGGAACACATCTTTAAAGTTACATTCCTTGTGCTCTTCAAGAAATTCGATTTATTTTTTTTAATTAATAAATGTCCAACTTGTACGTTTTAGTTCCAACCATAACACCTTCCTTGTTTTCCTTTTCTGGACGTCTACAACCTTCTAAAAAGGTGATCTTTTGTTTTACAGTATTCATCTAACTGGATTTCAAATGAACATCACCACACATAATATTCTTGAAAAACGTACACACCAAACTCTGCATGGAAGTGGTTTACACTAGTTACTTTTGTTTTTAGCAAGAGATTCACTGACCTGTATATAAAAAAGGGGTACATGTCCGCATGAATAGGGTGATTCGATTGGGGTACACGGGTCTAGATTATCTTCAAGCAAATTTGAATCCTGGATCCCGATTGGCCAATCCATGGCAACAACAGTGTGATGTTATCCCATATACAATGGTCCATATCGCACTCTGCGTATCGGCTATTCTAAGATGGGTGCGCCATTCCTGCTGCACCACATGCAATAAGCTAACTGTTGAAAAGTTGGTGTACAGCATGTGCATCAATGTTTACTGTGTGTCATATTTGGTTAAAGATAAATTCATTATCCCAACTCGTCGTGCTCATGGAAAACGGAAAATATTGTGCGTCTGTGTTCCATATTCCACTTGGCCACTCAGCCTCGTGGCATATGGGACACAGACGCACGACAATATTCTGTGTTCCACTCAAGCTCATGAGATAACTAATAACTTAGTCCAATGATGTCAAATCTATAAGTCTATTAGTTTTCGTTTCGTTCTGTTGTCAAAAAATGCCAACTCTTAACCCCCCCCCAAAAAAAAATCAGAAAGAGATCATTTGGACTGAGTCCATTGTTGAGGCAAAATATATTGTTTCCCTTTCCCTACATTAAATTGGTGGAAAAGTACCCACAAATGGCCACTGTAAATGCTTCAACATTTCAAGTCTACTTCAAATGGAGATGTTTTCAATCACTCCAAATGGAGAAGAGTTGTTCACTTCAATAGGAATTTCAACACTTCACTGTTTAATTTCATACAAAGAGTGGCCTGAAAGTGACTGTGCACATAAATTACTTGGAGGACTCGTAACAGAAGGAGTGCGGTCATTTCAACAAAAAGAAAAAACAAATCGTCCCGCACTTACTTCTAGAAATAACAAATGATAAATGCAGCCCAAAGTGTTGTCTGGATTGACAAGTTCTCTCTCTATGTCCTGGAGTGTCATTATGAACAGACTACAAGAAGTAATACACACTTGGTAACAGATCATATACAGTACGAGAAGCACATAATGCAAGCACACTTATTGCTTGAGAGCATCCCATTTTCCCTGTCATCAGGAGAGGTCTGGAGAGATATAAAACACACTTTACGATCCTTCAGACCTATTTTAAATTGGAGACAAACAAATGATGCTATAAACCCCTACCCAATCTAACACCTGTACTCAAGTTTACAGTGTTTACGCTTCTTTTCTTTTTTTTTACAACCGTCCGTGAAACTGTAATTTAAACCCTCGTTCAAGTCCAAGTCTAACAGGCCGATAAGATGAGACAGTAAAAACGCCATATTTCTTGTTTTTTACTCGTTTATCGGTGACTTGATCAAATATCGCAAGCCGCTTTCTGAGGCAAAAGATCATAAATGTCCCTCATGGATGAAACGTATGATCTGCTCTTTGCAGATTGCTGGGGTTTTATGATATTAGTAAACCGTGCGGACGTGATAACCAACCCATTCTTGAATTTTGAACATGGACTATGAGCAAACTGACAAAAAAACTGTCCAGTAAAAGATAAACGAAGCAGTTTTCTTTTTGGTGATTTTTAAAACCTGTTCCAGTACTATATTGAAGAAAAATAGATTCCTCCAAAAGAGCCAGGGAGGATCTCTTTTCCCCCAAAAAATTACAACATGTACCATCACACTTTTTTGTTGAGCCTGCATGAGTATTTCACTTGTTTTGACGCTTATTTTATGAAAATTCAGGCCCACCGTTCTTCCAATTGCTACATTTCTTGATGCAAGTGATGGAAAATGTGAAACGTCAACTTCCTCATAAACATTGCAACATTAACAGCATCGTGTGCATTATGAAAGGTACATGTACCGGTACATGTCATTACACTTTGCTGTAAGCTTTACGTTTACAACAAACCTAAATTTTAATCAAACCTTCGGTATCATTACAGGGCACAGATCCGAAGAGGTGGAATTCCTCCCCCTACCCCAGGCCCGTTGCCAAGGGCGGGGGGAGCCTGGTGGGGGGGGGGGGCTGGTGGGGCCGGGCCCCCCTAGGCGAGCAATTGCCCCCCCCCCCCCCCACGTCAAAAGCCATACATGTGTATTTTTGTATTTTTATGGTAGTGAGCACCCCTAGTTGTAACTAGGCCTGGCGACGGGCCTGCCCTACCCCAACCATGGGAAGTGAGATTGTCACAAAAAAGCCAATTTCATAGAAAGTGTTACACAAATTAGGTATGGATATTAAGATTACGTTTCTAATAAAAGTACCTTAAAGTTAAAGCACAGTACAGAAAGTACAGTGTGTGTCAATAAAATTGTAGCAGTCAATCCGTAAATATTAAAAACACTAGCACTCTCTTTTTGCAAAACTCATCTATAGAGTCTGAAGGTGTAGTAAATACTCTACACAATGGTCTTATCCCATCTCATTTGGACACCCCAGTCTAGAGATACAGCTATTTGAATGAAAGGACTCAAATTCACATATATGTGAATGCCTTTCATTAGATACCAGATAATATGAAAAGTGGCCTAAACAGATTTTGACAGTCTTTACAAGCTTTGGCGTAACTTTTAAACAAAAGGTCCAAATCACACAGAACAATAATCCTGTCAAGGGTTAAGAAATACTCTATCATTTCATGGTAAATTTTAAAAAAGAAAGATTTAGATTATGCTAAGAGGTACTCTGATGGGTTCAATTTAATCACCTACACAGGACAAAGTGATGAATGAAATGAAAGAGGCCAGCAGCCCAAGCGCATGAGGTCAGATCCATTCAATACCACCGGCCACCCCCAGGCCCACGTGAGAAAGAATCAAGAATCACATAATGACAATACCAAGATCAACAAGGGATCATTTCTCAATTTGCAAACACAGCCGATTTTTGTGTGTGTGTTGGTAATATTGACGCGGCTAGCTTGAATGAAAGCACTTTAAAACAGGTTTCTGATGGCACTTGTGTACACACGTACACAGTTGGACGGTGCTAAAAGTCAAAGAACTCATCTTGAATAGGTCTAACATGCCTATCCCCCCTCCCAACAACTATATGCTTCAACCAATACAAAGAAAACGGGGTGGTGATGGTGGGGGGGGGGGGGGGGGGAGTTGACTCGCCTTCACAGGGTGCTACGTACACTTTTCAACATGCAGCCGTTCGTGAACCCCCAAATGAAGGGAAGTGTAACTTGATGCCTGACGTAGTAGTGTGCACACACCTCCTCTGGCTGGTTCCTGCCTCGGTTAGAGAGTGTGGTAGAGGAAGTGAGGTTGGAGGGACGGAGGGAGGGAGGGGGGGGGGGTTAAAGGAAAGCAGGCCCAGCGTATGACTGTACATGGGGTAAATGTTTGCGCAGGGATTTAGCATGCTCTAATCGACTTGTAGTCGGCTGGTGGGCCCTCTGGGCCATGACAGGGGATATGGGTTGGACGGCCGCGACCAGCCACTAGAGTATTGTTGGCCCTTTCCTTTGCCGAGGAGATAATAAGCATTCATTAACTCTTAATTAACCGAGGAACGTCTCCTGTCCTTCCATTGCCCTCCCCCATCCCTTCCTCCCCCTCCAACGCTGCGCCATCCCTGCTCTGTCCTGTACAATGAACTCTTGTCACTTGAAGCAACTCCCCCCCCCTTCTGACTTGCCTTAGCCATGTTAGCAGAAAAAAATGGGTGTTCAGCCCCACGTGCCAGGCCTCACGATGACTTGCAAGCTGAGACACCCTGAACGTGACGGCTAACAATACCCGAGACTAGACATCCAAAG